TGGTTTTCTGATATGGCATGGGCCCTTATGCAGGTGCTCCTCTCTGCTCAGGTCTGATCTTGGAGATACCAGCTTTCAGGAATGAGTCAGGGACAGTTTTGATGATGTTTTTTTCTGCTTGTCTGTCTCTACAAGAGCACCTATCATTTTGACGTTTTAAAACTAAACTCTTTTAGGGCACCATCTGGAGAGACTTCACAGAAATACTAACAACATTGCCCACAGTTCAGCAGTATCAATGGTGAAATCTTGTGACCTTGGCCCGGTTTGTTTATTTGGATATGTGATGGCTGGACCTTCTCTCCGGACCACTCTGGGTTTTCCAGAAGGCCTTTAGATAGTTATACTCTGAAAGGGCTCTTTGCGGTTGTCAGCTTTAATGCTGTAAGCAGTCCAGGAGAGATAGAACAGCCTGCATTCCTGCAGCCCACATGCATTTCTTTTTGCTCGGTATAACCCAAACATACCTGTGGGTGATGTTGAGGGTCTTCACATGCAAGCGAAGTCGAGTGGGTTCAGGTTTGTTCAAATCAATCAGTTCAGATGCTGTTTAACCTAATTATTTCAAATTTACACCTGAAAATAGTCACAGTAGTGACTTCTAAGGATGTGTTGTTTATAATATAGTCATTGCTGTTGATGCACAGAAAGGTTTTTATTAATTGCTTTAGAAAATGGTTTTAAAACAAATTTTCCTAAATTTGATTTTATTTCTTTGTAAACAATGGCTATTGGCCATTGTTAAGCATGGGTTTAAAACAGGTTTTCTGGTTTTAAAAGATGTTTCTATTTAATTGGCAAGTAGCCTAAAAGTTTGTCATTTTTGCACAGCAATTGTAACCAGCATGTGAATTAAAAAATTTGGCAAAAATGAGTCCTATCCACAAAATTGATTGCACAAAATTGTATCACATAAAACTAAGAATAGTTAAGTCAAAAATGTAAATTAAAATGTAAATTATCATTAACATATACACAAGTCTTTCTAAACCTATGTTACTTTCTTAAATGTTGTATAACAAATTATTCAAAATGTCCAAGCTGCTCTTTTCCATACTTTGAAGCAAATGCCATGGCTGTCAAGATTGTCAGGTTTAAAAAAAAATCAAAAATTTCAGTCAAACATGGGATCGTTAAGTCTTTAAGCTTAAATGTAATGAATTAAACTACTCTGGTCTGGCTGTCTTTTATCACACACTTGATAAGTATCTTAATTCCTCACTACTGCTTGTAAAATGCACTTTATAGAGCTGAGTTAATGCACAACACTCTTCTGGGCATTTTATGTGTTGAAATAACCTGACGGTCATTGACGTTTGGCAGGATGGGAAAGGTGCTGCTTTTAAAGATGTAATGCTCTGATAAAAGCCACCAATTAAGTTATCAGTAGACATATGTTTAGTGTTTAGTGTTGTCTGAGAACACATTAAAGCGAGTTGAGGGTGTCGAAGTGCACATCATGGGGGTGTGGCCTGTATTATAATATTAATACAATGTGGTGCATTAATAGTATATCAATATAATGTAATGCTAAAATATTTTAATATTTAAAAAAATGTATATTAGTTGAATACATATTTAATATGCTTATTTTTATGTATTTTATTTTGTTTTTGGATGTAAATAATATGTGCTTATTAAAAATCATTTTAATCGTTTTCAATCATTTTAATAGGCTAAAATAATTCAATAATATACATGTATTGTAGTATGTTTGTTTGTCCTAAACACTTTTTTTTTCTTTCTTTTTTTTTTTGGCTGGGTCTCAGAAGGACAGACAGTGACGCACGTCTTTTCTTTATCTTCACTTAAACAAGCTTTTGTCAGCATTACAGCCATCAGGCCAGTATACGACACCTATTGTTAGCACCAATAGCGTTGCGAGATGACATAGTAGCCTATGAAGGCAGGATGGCAGAATGCACTGAATTTGCGCATCTCCGTTATTCGTAAGCGCAGCGGTATGTGGTCGGTGTACGTGTGACCGGAGCTCTGCTTTATGGATGCATATCATAAGTCTTCGTAATGATGCAGCTCCACTCATCGTTTGTCCTGTCGTGTTTAGCCGAAACTTGGTTTATTTATTTTAGACTGCAGTTTGGCTCTAGTATATTTAATTTGATGATGCTAAAGATGCTGTGAAATGTAAACCTTCCGAATGTTGCATTGCATTACATTGCATGCTGCCAGTCTTGGTGTAAGTGCCCCTCAAATTCATGGTAAGGTATGGCATGGTTTTCAGAATTCTAACCTTGTGACCTTTAGGGTTCTCTATGTCACGTGCAAATGTTGTTGCTATTGCCAGGTGGGCAGTGATCAGGGTTGCCAGGTCCCAGACAAATTTTCTGCCCAAAGCTGATTTAAAACCCACCCAAAAGGAATGATAACTACACTGGAAAAATTAACTTCAATAGTTTTCACTCAGAAATTGCTAGTCAATTTGACAAGTAGCTACAAAGAATAGCCAATAACATGGAATTAAGCATGACGTTTTGAAATATAAAGACCGAAATAGCCTATTTCTTGTAAAAGATTCCAATATTCTTAGTTTGCAACTTCGAAAAAAAAAATTGCATTTTATTCCTCTTCTATTTTTGGCATTTTTAATTCTTCCTGTGCTTTTTTGTTGATTTTTAATTTTCAGCTGTTTTTTTCTAGTTACATTTCTTAAAATGTGAGTAACGAAAATGCATAACACTGTCACAGTGTGATACTCTGAGATAGCCATCCATAAAATGCTGTCAATAAATTAGTTTTTACACGCTGTCCTTTCACTTTCCCAGTTCTTTTAACCATTGTACTTTGTACACATACAATAAACTCATTATTTTCTTCTAAACTCAGGACCATTATTAATAGCCCACGTGCTGTTTTCTTTTCATTCGCTCTTCTTTCCAGTCACTCTTGTTTTGTCTTCACACGAGCATCATTGTGCAATTAATCCATAATGCCAAACTCAGTTAACCCACTTTAAAATCCAATTCCTGATGTGGGCGAAACTCACATAATCTCTAGATTGTGAGGTGACATCAAACATGCCCCCCCCCCCCCCCCCCACA